AAAAAAAAAAAAAAGACTATTTTCCTAAACGCTATCACCACCAGAGGGAGCTACTGAGCCACACAGAAAAAGAGAAGAAGTCCCAATTCCCAACACAAATCAATCAAACAAAAAATGGCAGTCTTTACAACAATCTTCCAAGTCTTTTAATTCCCAATTTATAGACATACAGAGTAGTTACATAACCTGTCAACACCACTCGGAAGGATCCAAATGGTAGCAAAAGGGATGTGAGTGTGGTTGTGGCAACCACTCTGGAAATACAGCAGGCGAGGTCTGAGCTCTACTGAAGGTATTCTGTATCTAGAGATGCCTACTTTCAATCTATTAGTAGAAAGTTCTGGGTTTCCCATTTTTTGAAATCCATACTCGTCCTCTCTCTGAGCAGTTAAGCCTAGGAGTTACTGTAAGTGTTTATTCTTGGTGTATGTGTCCTTTAGGCCAAAAAAGGATGATAAACACTTAAGAACAGTCTTTAAATCAATGTTTTCACATACAACACAAACCATCATCATTCATTCATTTTAATCCACAGACTTACTAAGGTCAGTGAGAAGAGGCCCTCCCTACTCAGAACCTTGAGGAACAGTGAGAGATAAGGGCCAGGCAGAACAGGAGAAGCTCACAAGAAGTCACAGAGAGAAGCTCACAGAGAGAGGGGAGAAAGTGAGGTCATGCAAATGAAGTGAAGAAAGTACATCAGGAAAGGGAAAGCTAATTTAATTTAATGGAGTATGACAGGTATAAAGTGTCAGTTCATTCAATTTTAAAATTAGGAAGAGGAACTCAAACATTATTCAACAAACAAAACAATAAAATATGATGTAGACCCATGTTCTGGTTCTTTCTTCTAGAGGATTTTATTTCCTTTCAAGGAAAAAAATTAAAGGCCCCAAAAGAAAAACTAAAAGGCCAACAGCATTCAGCCCCTGGTCCTCTGAGACTCACCTCATTGAGGCCAATGTTTCTATACACAAGTTCCAAATTCTTCTCAACAGGGATTCTCTGAATTTATCCCCCAGGAGGTCTATACCCTCTGAAAAGCCTCATCTCCCCATCCTGTGCTTCAAATACAACAGTCTCACTGCTTTGATTTCCTTCTCCCGTGCTGAGCAACAACTTCCATGTAACCCAACTCACTTGCCCTCATAACCTAGATCAAATACACCTCCACGCATGCCCAAGATAGCAAAACAAGGGCCCCATTCCCAGTTAGCACACTCCACCAACAAGGAGTTCCAACTGTGAGTAGCTTGTGTGCCACTGACAGAGTGACCGTCCCAGAGTTCTCTCCCCCCATATACTGAAAACCACCTTAGGAAGCAGTTCTATCTCTAGCTACGGGCTGCAGAATGAAGAGCTGACGTGAGGGTCCCTCACACAGTATGAGGAGACTTATCTTTTGTATCACCCAGGGCATCCAAAGTGAGCAATGAAATCTACTGCTGTAAATAGAATAGAGTTCAAAAGACCACTGTAGACAACTTCTCAACATTTGAGATCAAGATGAGAGCTGTTTCTCACCCTAATCCAGACAACATTATTAATTAGTGCAAAAGTAAGTTCCTTGGGTACATACAAAAACAAATGTCCTTTTGCTTAGTCTAATCATTTCCTGCTACAATAACCTCTTTGGTATCACAAGCTAAATACTCTTGAACATCTCCATGTACTTTCTCACCAGTCAAGCCTGTGGTTTTACAATAAGCAGAGATGCTCTGTGTACTGGAATATCACAGAATACCATACGAGAAAAGAAGTTCTAGTCACAATAAAAACTAAAGGTCATTCATTATTTGCACTGCATTAAGCACTCATAAATCCATTACTTAAGGTCATCTAGAATGAGTAGATTTGTATTGTGGCTTTCAAGGTCTGTGAATTACACAGTCATCAATAAAGGACAAGGAGAGAATACAGAAGAGGTCTTATAACCTTTTCTCTCGTTTTATTTACCGACTGCAAGGTTGGTGGGAGGGGGGGAATCAGTTCTGTTCTTGACAACATTTCCCCCATAGAGAATTAAGCCTGAGGTGCTAACTGAAATTATTTCATTGTCTTTTTAAGTAATCGACTCATTAATTCTCATGGATATTGATTAGAGGAGAAAAATACATTACATCCTAATTAATGAGACTGTCTTACTAAAAGGGGAAATGTTGCATAAAGTTAATTTGATTTTATAAATGATTTTATTAATGAAATGGTTTTATATGAAGTTTGAGACAATCTAGTACATTAACAAAACTCAATACGAGAAGCAGGCCTGGTTGCTAATGCTATAATATTTTGAAAAAAAAAACAAAAAACAAAAACAAAAACAAAAAAAAACCATGCTGGTAAAAACCAGACAAAGGAAAGGATGGCTCTCTATAAAGAAAAATTTCTACCTTAATGCAACACAGTTTAAAAGTTAAAGAATAAATGCTGCACTGAAATACTAAAATAAACCAATGAGGGTCATTCCTATGGGACATAGATCCCTGGAAGGAGACACATACCATGTAGCCATGTAGTAACCTGGATCTTAATATTCAATCTATGGCTTGGTTTTCCACGCAGCTTTTTTTTTTTTTTTTTTTTTTTTTTTTTTTTTTTTTTTTTTTTTTTTTTTTTTTTTTTTTTTTTTAATAACCTTGAGTTTTTAGCTGTTCTTTTTCTAGGGATTTCACTTGGGTGACACCATGTTTCTTTATATAGATACAATATAAAGGGTCTGCTAATGTGCTTTTTAAAACCATAAAAGCAATTTTAAAGGAGTTATCAGGTACCATAAATCAACATAAAATTAGCAGACACATATAATAATCATCACTTACCTGGAGTAATGAACTGCTTAACATTGGTGAATCTAGACTTATCAGCCACACTAGCCATAAAGCAGCCCTTTGGCACAGTCCAGTCATTCGGCTTGCTGTTTCTGTCTCTGTCTTCTGCTGTTTCATATACCTCTACGTGAGGGGGTTTCTCAGTTAGATTCTTGCTGTAATGACTCAACCCATATTGTGCAATCTGGATTGGGTAGAAATAGCCTTGAGGTCCCCATTGTGTAGATAAAGGTACACCTACAAAATAGAGAAACTAAATAAATAACCACATCTGGACATTTCCAAGCGTATTCTGAACAACGCTCTCCACTGCTTTACCTCTGGGGCACGTTATAGGGTTATCGACAGCTTTAAAGCTTTGGTATTACGCTACTTTCATAATGATTAAAAACTAGTAATGAGGCAATCAGACATGAAAAACAAAATTGAGGCTTATTCACTCTTGTTCAGTATTTGACAGACAGCAATGCAGTGTGGTAGAAAACCCTTTAAGAACTGATGTTTTACAGAGCTACAGACGTCCCGTTTTCAAAACCCCGTTTCATAACATTCGTATTTTGTACAATTTAAATACATGTAGATAATGTTACCACAGGTTTATCCTAAAATATTAACTCTGAAATTTTCTTACATGTTTGTACTTCACATTCAAGTTATTAACCTACTCCTCTCTCTCTCCAATGTTAAGATGTGGTCTAACTATATCAGCTGATGGTTAAAGTATTTGCTTAAGGAGCTGGGTATGACCAGGTAACTTCAAGTATAAACGCAGTTTGCAATTCTTCTTCATATCCGGCATGTCAAAATGTGACTCTTGAGAATGAGGCGTGTTTTTTAAATGAGTTAAAGTTGTGTATCTAATTAGAGATTTCTGACATAATTCATTAATGGATGATCTCTTGTAAAGTTCTAAGCAAAACTTTGAAATGTTTATTAGTGTTTATTTTAGTAATTCTACATGGGGAATACAATAATGCCACATTGCACAGAATATTGTATTGCTGCATCATGGTCTATGTATTTAGAAATAAACTCCTTTCTGTAGTTCTAAAATAATTTGATCAACATCAGATGGACATAGCAGAAACCAAGAACCTACAAAACTGTATGTGTGATGTAGTTTCAAAACAGTTTAAGGAATTAGGAACTATAAGGGCTAAGAAACCTAGGCTACAGATATGCTTTTAATATAAAGACTGCATCATGAATTGGTGGGGACAAGAGATTATTCAATACATGTGAGGGGAAGAGTCTGAAATTATACCCTGACTTTGTGCCATTCACCAAAATATAAATCAATTAAGCTGGCCTAAAAAGCTTAATGTAAAAAACCAAAACCCTAAAAAACTATTAAGAGAAAATACAGATGAACAGCTGACCACAATGTGGCAATGACTTTCTAACCATAAAAGTAAAAAAAAAAAGTCTGTAAGTTTAGTAAATGAAACTAAAAACTTCCAAAACTAACAAATCATAAAATGAAAGATAACCAAATTGAAGAAAATATCTTTAATAAGTGTAACAAAGTATTATTAACCTTACTATATATATAAAAGTTCACATAAATATTTTAAAAGCCCACTTAATTACACTAGAGAAAGAGGGAAATAACATGAAGATCATTTTATAATGATTGAAAGCATATGAAAAAGATATCTGACCTCACTAATTGTTATAGAAAGCAAATCATGAGATCCTTTGTAAACAACAGATTAAAAAAAGAAAAACCAATGTTCCTTGGGGCCCCTGGGTGGCTCAGTTAAGCTTCTGACTTTGGCTCGGGTCATGATCTCACGGTTCGTGAGTTCGAGCCCCACACTGGGCTCTGTGCTGACGGCTCAGAGCCTAGAGCCTGCTTCAGATTCTGTCTCTCTCTCTCTCTGCCCCTCCCCCGCTCACACTCTGTCTCTCTCTCTCTCTCTCACAAATAAATAAACATTAAGAAATTAAACAAACAAAAAAACAATGTTCCTTACGGAAAAAAAATAAAAACAAAAAACGATGTTCCACGATGTCAAGAGCTGGGTGACAAGTGTGCCCTCACACTCTGCTACTGGAAACATGAGTAGTTCAACCTTTTTTGGAAAGCAGTGTGACTAAATAGATCAACTTCTATTATTTGAATGACAGTTTATTTTCTAGGAAACTACTCTTAGAATATCATTAAAACAGCAAATGATTAACTATAAATATCTATACCATTATGTATAAAAGCAAAAAAAGCTGGAAATGACCTAAGTGGCCAACTAAGGAGAAAGGCTGAATACATTACACATATCATGGCATATTCTTACTATGAATAGTAGTTGTTAAAATGTTCGGTAACGATTTAATAACAAGGGGTGAATAATCAATATATTTTAGATGAAAAAAGGAGAATATAAAATTAACTACACAGTATGATCTCAATTTATTTAAAAAAACAACAAAAAGATCGGGAAAACACATCAAAATATTAACAGCGGTTATGGGTGCTTTTTACTTTTTCTTTAGCATCCAAACATCTATTAATTTTATACATTTTACCTAATTTACATGAAAAGGTTTGACGATGGGTATCTCTGAAATCTCTAAGAAAACATTACCACCCTGGACACTGTATGGTTAAGTATCATTACAACTATGTTAAAACATAGACCTAGGTACAAAGACCTCCAGAGAATATACAAAATGGTAATAATTATCTCGAAGTGGTATGAATATAAGTGAATTTGGCCCTTCCCTCTTCTGAACATTAGGTAAAGATATTATAAAAAACTTAAAATATTGTATTAAAATCACTTTTTAATAGAATGAAGAAAATAAAATAAAACTAAGCAAAGCCATCTGAAAACACACTAAGTTCTTTCCTCGGGTTAAATGATGTATTTTAAAGTCAAATTCAATTTGGCTTTCAGATCCATCTTAGGTTTGAAATACAAATTCCAAAATGTACTAATGACACTCATAACGAGCTCCTACTGCTTCAGGTTTTAAAGACAATATGCAATAGACTATAGGAGTGTAGCATAAAAGTTCCGAGAAAATGGTGTCTTGTTCTGAGGACTTTAAACCTCCATCCAGAGATGATACCTGGCTAATCTGGTAGCAAGACTGCATTGGTACATAGGTCTATTGGTCTCCTCTCGTAGGGCACTAACTGCATATTTTAATGCAAAATTTTTGGAGATGCTGTGCCTTTACTTTAGAGGTGATAATTTTAGATTCTGAGGCGGGTTCGTGGAATAATCCTATTTGATCAGGTATCATCTTGCAGCCCCCATATCACATCATCTAGAATGATGCCTCAGGTTTAGACTTAACCCGGTCCTCCTTGCTAAGTCAGAGTGATGAATGGTCTCCTGACAGTAAGCTATGTATGTACTTGCTATATAATTAACACCTACAATTTCTTATTCCTCAACACAATCAAGATAGAAAAAGGCAGTGGAGCAGACAGATACCAACCTTCAACCCCACTTATGCACTTGACTCTGTCTCGGACTTCCACATTGTAGCCTTCAAAGGACATAAACACGCCATCAGGGTGATAAGGGGCTCTCTGTGCATAGACTTTGGAATAGCTATGAGAGAATTCAAAGCGATCGTAGCCATCATACTGAACCACCTTTCCATATACGTCAAAATATTTCTCTACCCAAGTGAATGGAAGAAAGACTTCATTCCCCTCTCTTCTCCCTTTAATTGTGTGTTCATCATTTATGAGACAGTCAATTTCTTCGTATTTGAGCCCTAACACCTTGCTTCCCCCATTGCTGTTGAAGCTCCCAACAACAGGGGGTGCTTTCTGCTGTTCCTGAGGGAATGCCTCCTCAGACTGCTTGGCCATGTGGTTCACATAGTTGTTACTCTCAGATGCTGCTGCTCTTTTTTCTAATCCATCCACTCTGAAGCCACTACTCAAGTGCCGTGGAAACTGGATCGCTTTATCGCTGGAACATTTATTCCACAAAAGTACCGTGACCAAAGTGAAGAGTGTGCAGATGATAATCAAAGTCTTATAGTTGACCCGAGCTGCCAAGCAACGCATATTTCAGACCATACCTATGGAGGCAAGAAGAAAAATTCATGCAAAGCTGTACTGCAGACATTTCACAGGATAAGGTTTTCCTTATTTTTTTATATTGAACCACATTAGGGCAATTTTATTCACTGCAGTAATCTGATCAGATTTAAAATGACTAACTCAAACTTCTCAGCAGAGACAAACAAAAGGCAAGAGGAGCTTCCCCCTCTTAAAATACTTAGCATGATCCTCTAAAGTAGAGATTCTCAAACTTTCTGTTTGTGGCTCTCTTGGTATCTTACTAATTGTTTCGAAGTCCCTAGGCCAAAAGAAATACCTGACAGTTCCATTTATTAAGTCCTTGGGCCCAAATAACTTAATACATTATTTTTGTCTCAACAAGTTTGTAGCTGTCGGAAAAAACACAGTGGCTTTTGTAAAGGTAAACACTGATATCCATGCTGCCAAACCCAACAGTGAATTTTCAGTGCCCCCTCCTACTTGCTCTCTCGGCAGCATGAATAGTCAATGACTGTTTCCTACTGGAAACACTTTCTTCTCATGGCTTCCAGGGCACCATCCTCTCATGGATTTCCTTGTACACCACTGGCTGCTCCTCCTCAGTCATCTCTGACCATTCTTTCTCATCTCCCTGAACCGTAAGTGTTAGCGTGCCTTAGGGTCTCAGGCCTCATACCTCTTCTTGACCTCTATTCACTCCTAAGCGATCTCACCCAATCCCATGGCTTTAAATACACTTTATATGCTAACTACTTTCACAATTTCCTCTCTAAGCCAGAACTTTCTCCAGAACTGCAGGCACATCCGTCTCAGTACCAATCCGAGTAGCTGACATCTTTACTTGGAGATCAAATGAACGTTTGAAACACCCCAAACTTAACTCCTCATCTTTCCCCCCATCTGTTTTTCTCTTTTCCTATTGCTCAGGCCAGAAACCTCTACTCCTTTCTTGCTCACCCCATATCCAATTAATCAGGAAATGCTGTTGGCTCTACCTTCAAATTATACCCAGGATCTGACCTCTTTTCACCAACTCCACCATTACCACCACATCAGAGCCACTGCCATCTTTCACTTAGAATACTACAATGATGTCCAAACTGGTCTCTTCTTATTTCTATCCTTGCTCTACTATTCTACCCCAAGTCTATTCTCAACATAGCCATTAGAATGATGCTTCTTTTTTTTTTTCAGTTTATTTATTTTGAGAGATACAGAGGTAAAGTGAGTAGGGGAGGGACAGAGACAGAGAGAATCCCAAGCAGGCTCCGCACTGTCAGTGCAGAGCCCGATGTAGGGCTTGAACTCACAAATCAGGAGATCATGACCTGAGCCGAAGTCAAAAGTCGGATGCTTAACTGGCTGAGCCGCCCAGGTGCCCCAGAATGATGCTTTTAAATGTAAGCCAGATCATGTCACTCTAGTCACAATGGGAAAAGAATCTGATGCTGTTGCCCCTGCTGGCCATATAATATACTAGCCAGTTGTGACTGCAATTAAGTAGTCCCGAATTACCTGTTGCTGAGGTCACTGGGAACTATGGGAAATTATGGGATTAGTCTCCTTAGTGTTTGCTACAGTAGCTCTAGAATTCATTTTATGGTGTAAATCCACAACTACTTATTTTACTGTTTGAAATTATTCATCCCCTTTTTTCTTTCCACAAACCCTTTTGGGAGCGATGAGATTTTTTATGTTATTATTATTATTATTTTTTTAATGGTTATTCATTTTTGAAAGACAGAGACAGGGCACAAGCAGGGGTGGGGCAAAGAGAGAGGGGGACACAGAAGCAGGCTTCAGGCTCTGAGCTGTCAGCACAGAGCCTGATGTGGGGTTTGAACCCATGAACCGTGAGATCATGACCTGAGCTGAAGTCGGATTCTTAACCCGACTGAGCCACCCAGGTGCCCCACAATGAGATTTTTTTTTAAAAAAACCCAAAATGAAAATGTTTAATGAGAAATTACACAATAATTTTTTTATTTTTTAAAGAAAGGTGATGGTGAGGGGCACCTGGGTGGCTCAGTGAGTTAAGCATCTGACTTTGATTCAGGTCATGATCTTAATGGTTTGTGGGTCTGAACCCCTGCATCTGGCTCTCTGCTGTCAGCAGATCCTCTGTCCCCCCGCTCTCTCTGTTCCTCCCCAGTTTATGCTGTCTCTCTCAAAAATAAATAAACTTTTAAAAAAAGAAAGCTGATGGTGAATGTGTAATTCTCTATCTATCTATCTACAGCTTGAATTCATGACCCCAAGATCAAGAGTCACATGCTCTACCAACTGTGCCAGCCTCACTCATTTAATTCCAAAAGAAGGTGCCTTTGAGTTCTTATGTGTCTAAAATCAACTTCAGTTTGCTCTCTCCTTTGATTTATAGTTTGACAAGATATAGAATCCCTGGCTACACATTATTTTCTTTTGAAAAGTTGTAGGCAATGTTTCATTGTCTTAAAGCATTAAGAACTACTAATGAGAGGGGCGCCTGAGTGGCCCAGTTGGCTGGGTGTCCAACTCTTGGTTTAGGCTCAGGCTCACGATCTCGCAGTTTGGGAGATTGGGCCCTGTGTCGGACTCTGCGCTGGGAGCACGGAGCCTGCGTGGGATTCTCTCTCTCCCTCTCTGTCTGCCCCGCCCTTGCTCACTCTCTCTCAAAATAAAGAAATAAACTTAAAAAAAATTTTTTTTAAAGAATTACTGATGAGAGGTTTGATTTCAGTTTGATACTTCTCACTTTGAACATGAATTTCCTCTGGATCTTTTATCTTTAGAATTCTGCAGCTTCCCAAGAATGAATTGCATTATGATATTTGACTCACTATTTCAGCACTTGTTGCGCCCTTTCCATCTGAAAACCTGTGTTCTCCTATTTTTGTTTAATGCGTGAAGTTCTCTTCCTACAGCCCTGAGTATATTAGAGTTCCTTTCTGGTTAAGTTCTCTCTGATTAGCTCTATTTTCTCCAGTAGCAATTTTTCTGGTTATTTTAGTCTTTCATGCCATCAGTTTTCCTCACATGCCCGGTGATCTTTGGTTACTCTTCGCATTTACATCTGAATGATTCATTTTAGCCAACACAGATTTCCTCTATCATTGTGAAGATGGTTTGATTTCTGGCCGGGCTGTTCTCCTGAGGAGGGCTCTGTGTGGGGTAGGTACAGGCTGACTGGCAGTGTTCCTTTAGGATGCATGGGTGGGGACCAGCAGACCTGCTAAATACCAGAATAAAGATGGCTTTTTTTCCCTTTTGTTCTGGAGATATAACTTGTACTTTAAAAGCCTTAGCTTTTCCCAATTTCTCTAAACAAAATCTGTTTGATGTCTTGCCTGGGGTTTGTGCCTGCTATCAACAGTCTAAGTGCAGTGAGGAGAGCGGTAAGGAGAAATGAGAGCCTTCTAGTACTCGAGCGGAGACCCAGAAATCTGTTCAATTACCACTCTTTGGTAGCCTTCCTATTTATTGTGACTGGCTTCTTCATTTCTTATTTCTGTACATTTTATTTCAGTAGGGCATCAAGAGGGAAAGTAGGCAAAGACAGGGTTTTGGTCCATCTTGGAAATCATACACAGATTTAAGAGCCAGAATCCAATAACACTTTATCATCCACATTATTACTATTAGAAAATGTACTGAATGCTAAAAAACCAAAGCGTGGTACAAGCGAACTTTTAGAAGTCATATATTTACAAAGGGTTTCCTTGTATTATGGTACCAGCAAACCAACACACTAAATGGCGTTTATTTTTAAAAAGAAGTCCTTTGTTAAAAACACTTATGTGTCAACATTTCAATCATCTGTCAGCTCTACCTAACATTTAGACCAATTAAAACAGAAATATACAGATTTTATCCCATCTTTGAGAAGTGCCCCTTCCTTCGCCACTCAAATGAGAGTAAACCCTCCTATGGAAGTAAGCTACCATTATAATGAGATGCATCATGGGAAAATATGGAAAAAATAAAAATAAAAAACTTTCAATAATCTTGATGCACAGATTTTGTTATCTGATCCCATTCTTTAACAAAAGCAGTGAGGGCTTCTTAGAGAAACGGATGATTCCAGGTGTAGGTCCTTGTCATGCCAGAAAATAAAGAAAACTTAAAAGTATCAATGGGTTCATAATCCAGGGGATCAAAAAAAAAGCAGTAGGAGAAAGATAAAATGAGATTAGAAACACCGATAATGTTGAAACTGAAAGATATGTTGAAGGTTCACTACATTATTCTCTATACTTTCGTTTGTTTGAACATTTCTGTTAAAGAAAAAGAATAGTATCATAGCAAAAAATACAAGACAAGAATCACCCTGAAAGGTCCCTTTCCCCATTAGTCAAAGCTGTGAGAATTATGACTGATCATAACTGAAACACACTGAAACCAGAAAAATCTGAGCCTACAATGATACTCAAAAAGGAGAAAGCCAGAAAAAAACACTAATGTCATCTTCTGACTGGGCTGGTGAAAACTGGTAACTAAATGAAAGAATTTATTTATCTATCTGGCCTTGTAAGAGAAGAAGTCAGTAGCCCCAGATAATAAAGAATTCTGTTACAGAAAAAGGGTGGCTAATGATGTAGAAGAAAATTTTTTAAAACATCAGAAAATTTGCATTGTGATCCCTCACAAAATTTACTAATTTAGACAAGTATTATATTCAGGTATATGTTTAACAGGAACCTAGTGATTCATATTACTCAAGGTAACACCAAATACATTATTTTCTATAGTAGCAAGAGGAAAAAGTTGAGACTCTACAATGAGGGGATCAGATTCATTACCCTAATTCAGTACTCAAATGCAGTCTCATTAATGCTGACTCATCCAGATACTGTGGCTTTTGATGAGTTAAAAGAAAAAGTAAATAACCTATTATATATCCCAGCTAAAAATGTTTAACATGATCTCTAGGCTTTACAATTTGACTTGTAACTAATAGGATATACAAGAGACAGAGGAACAAATTAAATGCAGATGAAACCAGACAAATCTAGAAGGCAAGACAT